GCAGAATATTCAAAGCTTTGTTGTTTTTAATGTCACACGAGTATATACAAATAAGTACGATGCTCTCCGTGTAATCGCATAATTGAGTACAACGTCATGATTCCACAAGACTTCTGAGACACGATATAATCCAATTATTTGATGATGTGCGAAATCCCACAGAGCTCAATTTGCCTTTTGATTAACTTGTACTACACAAATGTCTGTATATATTTTATTTAATTAAACATATTCAATTTGCATATGCTTTTCCAGGAATGGCCAACCAATGACACGTGTGCCATTAATGGCACGTGATACAGTATTATGGGCACGTTATTGATCACAAAATTTATTAAGCACTACAAAAAAATGTGAAGTCAAAATGATTTGATGGCGCGTATATAACCTCAATAAAAAATTCTCAACAAATAAAGACCTATTTTTATGTTGCCATAGTCGAATATTGCTGCTTCTAGGTTTAACTACGGGTTGAGTATTCCCGTGAATCGGCTACCTCTTCCCAGGTCTCATCAGAGTATACAGTAGGGTTTTCAGTAGGTAGAAATGTAACGGTCGAATAGATACACAGTAAGTAGTCCCACATAACTTCGTCACTCGTCAGGTAGAGGTGTATGCTTAAAGCATTTTTCTTTAAAATAAAAAAGATTATCTATTTGGTCTTTGACTAAAATATTAATCATGTTTTTTTATGTAAGGAAAAATAAAGCAAGTCCTACAGATCGAACATATTTTAGTTGAAGACTAAATTGATGAGGTTTTCTTTGCATTTTTATCTAATTGAGTAAACACTTATTAGGACAGCGAAACATAGAAACGTAATTCATAGAATCGGGGTTAGATTAGTCAAACATTACTGAGCTCACAGATACCAATGGTTAGTAATTAGTTATTTACTTAAATGAGGTCTTAGAGTGGATTTTTTATACTGGGTTTGATTCGCGGTCGGGTTAATCTTAAAAATTTACTTTTCTTTACGGGTCAGGGTGTATTAAAACCCGTAGTATGCTGATCAATGGTGTAGTGGGAGCATTCTATCATTAACCGGCACGGCGAGCGCACGCGTCAGTATCATTAGCAGTACACCTTATAGTAACTGTAATGTAGTATAGATATAGGAATAATACGCATGTGAAAGTTTGTAAAATATTTGTATAGAAATTAAATCTATTCAAGTACCTACGAAATAATATGTTTTGTTTTAGATAAATTGAGATATTAAAACTGTGACTCTATGCAGCACGGAAAGCTCGACTCGAAAGAGAGACCCACGTCTTTTAAATGTTTGATATGTCTATGAATGTGTATATGTATTATGTTGCATAGGTAAGACTGTAATGTTAATGAACTGTCAATATGAGAGACTATTGTGTTATTACCGGTCAATATGATAGATCAGTTTTAGAAGGTCAATAAGATAGGCCATGAGAGGTCATCAATATGACAGACTACCTATATGTTAAAGTACAGTCAATATGAGAGGCTATTCTATTATTGTTGGTCAATATGATAGATCAGTTTGGAAGGTCAATAAAATAGGCCACGAGAAGTTGAAAGTCAATATGATAGACTACCTAAATGTTAAGTCAATATAAGTGATATATATTTTTTACATTGCAGGTGTTCTATGAGAATTATTTTAAACTAAAGCAAGAAGAAATAAAAAGGTGAAACTTTTTGGCAAACGTTATTAAGTTCGTGTTAGGATGAATATACTATGGAATGACCCATGTAAGTTCTTCAGCCAACGGCGCAATATGAAAAAGAACACATTTGATTAATATAATAAATTCATAGTTTCTATTTGACAAAGGATACATATCGTCTATCATATTGTTTTAAAAAACTAATAGCGCGGTTTATTTGCAAAACACTATTGCTTTTAATACAGGGAAAATGAACTTTGTAATATGTTCCCAACAATGATTATTATGATTTATCTACTTATTATTCTTTGTGAAACAACAGCATTGAGTGACACATGGAAACAAATAAACAATTCAATTGGGTGATACGGTGATACAGTTGCCTTGACAGTTTAAACTGCCACACAAGTAAAAAAGCTGTGTCGAGCAAACAATTAATAATTTAATAGATAAAATAATATTATATTTTTATGTATCACAATTACAAATTTTGTCTTACAGGTAGGTAGGTATAAATAAGGAAAACCAAATAACCTGTGACATAGGTATTAGTTTTATTTGAATCGTAAAAACAATATTATATATAGGAAGGTAACATTAAATACAAACAATTGTAACTATTCCCATTATAAGTACAATCCGAGTTAAATCAATGAAATTTTATTTTATTGGATTATGGACATTTACCATAATTGATAAAAAGGCATGTCTGCAATCTGTAAATAGGTATTTAAACAGGATAAATAGTTTAAAATACCTAAGAGAAATGATAATTTCTTATGTATCAGTAGAACTGATATGGTTGAGAGTGATATTATTAAAATAACCGTTTCATAGTTCTAACAGCAAAACTATTACTAGCATATTAGTCCTTTAGTTAAATAAAATTGTACTTAGTGAATAAGGAGATCCAACATTATTGTTGTTGGTTTTAGATTATAATGTTAAATTCTTATGTTCCTTTTTACGCGACATTGATTAAACAGTTTCTTTTTAATTTTGTTTTGAATGCTTTCAAATTGCCTTCTGGATCCATTTGAAGCGTATATGTATTGCATACTGCGGATTCCAAACAGTAGATGCAGACTCTAATCGAGATCTTACATTGAATCTACAGAAGTAGAAATGGATTGTGATATTTATATAAGCCGGGGTCTACCTAAACTGAGTTTTTTTTTTCAAGTTTTATTTATTTAAAATATTATTCAATGACATTCAGGAAAGTATGTGTTTCGAAAGTAGCGAAATATGTATATATCTAACAAGCTGACAATCTATATAGTTGCTTTGAGGATCAGGCGTAAGAGTATAAGACTTCAATAAAAGGACTATTATTACAAAGAAAATATTTGTTTGTATTTTTTGTAAGGCATCTCGATTCAACTGCGTACTAAAATGGAAATAATAACGACTGGATTATTTTATGAAAACATGCGCGTAATACATAGAAACACTGGTAGATTTTCCATAATTTGTTCCATCTATTGGACAGTCCTGTGCCTCAGCAGTCGGAACGTTGTTATAAAGGTGATTGCTTACTGGCAAATTTTTAATTTAAATTAAGACTCCAGTATAACAGGCCACTGTGCACATAATACCCTCGGACCAATCAGCGAAGCCGCGAATTACAGCTAGTTTTAGATAAAACTGTTTCCTTCCATTAGTAGCTCAATGCAAGTATTTTTTTTTTATTCTTCTCATTCATAATTCATCATAATGGACAGTTTAATACATTTTTCGCAAACATAATTAACGCCACTCATTTAAGTATTTAAGTATCTCGTTAATAGTCACCCATATAATATTTTGTCGTCCGATGAACGATTGTCCACTAAAATATTTTTTTTTTAAACCGGGCAAGCGTACTAACGCAATATTAACATGTTTTTTTTGCGCCTTTTTATGATTAATGGTTTATTCTAAAAAAACGCAAAAAAACAGGTTTGTTGTTTTCAAAGGAGTTGTTCGGAATTTTCGAGTTAAATATGTACATTTGTTCGACAATTAGTCGTTAATTTGTAAAGCCAACTTAAGTGTTACAGTTTACCTATTAAATTCTTTATATACACTACTACCGTAACGTTGAGTTTCTAACAACAACCGTTTAGTTGGTGGGGGGGGGACATTGGACTCTATCTAAAATTGGCACTTTGAAGCTTAGATAAGTCACTAACGATTAACTAAATAAAAACGATCTCCCCACATCCCTAATATTTTTGAAAGACCTATTCAACGATACACCACGCAAAGGGAAGATAAAAAAGTTTTTCATCCTCAACGTTACATGTAGGGGAGAAGAGAAAAATGTTTTTCAAGATTTTATTTTACCACTTCGTTGGCGTGATTAAAGTATAAACCATGCTAAATTATACCTTTAAATACAAATCGTGAAATACGTTTTTTTCTTATACAAATACCAATCGACGGACAGACAGACAGATATGACGAAACTCTAAGGGTTCCTGTTGACTATGGTGCCACAAAATTGATAATGAAAACAACTTTTTTAATAAAATCAGAAAAAGAATAAAGACGACAAACATTAAAGGAATCAAAACCAACTTTTAAATAATACAGTAGCGTCATTTGGAAAAGGATGACGTGAAATATTATTATAATAACAAATTGAATTGTAAATGGTTTCTATGTTAACGATTTAATGCACTATACGAACTTCCCCTCCCATTTTCATCCCTGTATGTGCTTTTTTCGGGACATTTTTCGGGATTTTTTCTTGGATCACCTAAAGGATATTACTGGAGATCTTGGATCATGTTTTGGACATGTAGTCGTCGATGGATGCATTAATGACTTTTAGATACTTGAAAGAAAAAACAGTGATAGTATAATTAAGATCTTTAATTCAATTAAAGTTAGTATGGCGTAAAGGGCATTTCAACTTATACATTAAATCGATGTAAATATGAAAGCTTAGACGCCGTAGGTCATGTAGTACTAACCACTCCTTTTGGGCTGTCATAATTTAGGCATTGTATATTTGATTTTATTGACATAGAATCAGTTGTGTTTATGTGCTGATGTAATAATGTAATTTCTTGTTGCTAACATCTGTTGGGTTATGTCAGTGAAGAATAAATATGCCCAAAAGAGGATTACATTGCATCTCACACAAATAAAATCTGAGTAATGGCTATTTAAATAGTTATGCCATGAAAATACATCAAAATGTATATGAAATTACAGTTGTTTTATTCCCATTCTTATCTCAGCAACTTTGGGTTAGATAAACAAGTGAAGATACAATTACTAAGTATAGTAACACACACGAAGGACTTTTCCTTATTTGATAAGAAGAAAATGGAAATAATTCCCGTTCACGCTGCTAGTCCATCCCTATAGCGAGGAGCGGTGGTGAGGGGACAGACGCCACAAAAGCGCGGCTCCGCTCCGGCACGCTTGAAAGTGCCGTCTCAACACCACAGCGGAGCGCGCACGCGCTCCATCAATATATGCCTATTAATTATACATCAAATTCGTAGATGGCGCTGTTCTTAGCTTATTTACTTCTTAATCGGTCGTGAGATAGCATTGTTTTTGCTTTATTGAGATCTTTAATCTTCTGCTCTATGCATATGTTTCGTGTACATATCAAAACGACGTCATGAATATGACGGAGACGGAGTTTACGCTCTCCGTCATATTCATGAAAAAGTTTAAATTTTAAGGCAAGAAAATATTTTTCCGATATATTTGTTTTATGGCTTTTTTACATTAAAAGAAACCTTACAAGTATTATTTCAAACAAAGTAGAATACCGTATCTTAAATTATTTCAAAGCATTGATACAACTTTTTAAGTTTAGACTTTCTTTTTGTTGTACCGCACATTCTTGAATTTTTCTTCCAATTTACCTACTTAATTGTATTGTATTGAAAAATTGAACATTATTCTTTAAACCATAAAGAGTTTGGGTTTCGTTCATCGAATTGCGACCAATTCAGTCTTACATCGACAGTTGTGTCAAAGGTTTTGTCGAATAGTGGTCTATTTGAAACTTGTCTTTGCTTCACAAAAGCCAGTCTGCCCTTAAAAATCCATATTTCTAGGCTTAATAAAGTAAGAAAAAAGATATAATTGACTTTTTTTTTAAAGAAAATACTTTTACTGTTTCTGCGTTCTAAACACGATAAATATAATATTTATTAAGATACCTGGTTGTAGCAGCACCGGCCTGGACAGCACGGTACCAGCTCGATTTGATGCTCTGCACCTCAACGTGGCGCTTCCACCTCCCGCACCAGCGTCCAAGAGAGATCTTCTTGCTCCCAGCACCAACTTGCCTTCAGCCAGCACATGCCTATTGTATGAAATAATTAACTGTATAAGTATCAAACATTACTTATAGACAGTGTTTTATAAATCATGTAGTTTTATCCATATTGGGGGGAAGCATTTGCAAATATTGTAACCCGCCATTTTGTTAATGCATCGCACAATCCATGGTATACATGTGACTTATCTGTATATTCTGTATGCCAAATACCGTTAAACTTTATAAAATAAAACAATTTTTGTTCTAGTGTTTGGCACATCTTAATTATTGTTCCACTTTTAAACGTGTTCAATCTATTTCAGACTTCAGCTAGAGAGACCGAAACATCGTCTATATAATTATTAATATCTTTCGTTTAACAATAGTTTTCAAAGTACACAGAAACGTAAAATAAGCAAAATCTTCGTGTACTTATGTACCAAATAAGCTTTGATATTTGTTTTCTCGGTCATATTTATCAATACAAGGTCTCCCGCCGTAGATTTACGTACCGATGGCGTAGCTCTCGACTTTCACAAGTGCTTGTAACAGCCTAGACTGAATAAATAATTTTGATTTTGATTTTGATTTTTGAATAGATATCAATCCAGTATTTGTATTAAAGTAAACCTACATATATGTATATATCATCAGTCGGGATTATTATATTAATTTTAGTAAGTACTTAGAAGGGTGTCATATTGAGAGTGTGGACGACTGACTTAGGATGATATAGTTAAGCTTTGTCTATCATAACATTTTACAACTTCAGCAGAGTGGCTGCGTGGCTGGTGCTGATAGCTAGTTTACGGTTTACGCATAAATGCCTTTCTTCAATTAATTACTGCATTATAAAGAACGCATATGAAATGTAAAATTCTATTTCAAGTAAATTAATTAAATAATTTAATATTTTATGATGATAGATAAAAAAATGGAAATTAATCAATTACCTTATTCAGTTCCAATAATACATTAAAATATGTATAATGACAATTTTAATGAGAAACAGGATTTTTATTTACCAAAAACAACTTGCAAACTCGAACGAAAAATATAAGAGATAATATGTAACCCACATCTCTTAAGTAGCCATTACCAAGTAACAAACACCCCATTTGCTCTTTCCACGTACAACTCACAAATTGAATTGGACATTAAAAAATTTATTATAAGGTCGAGAATTCCAAACTTCCACTTCATGACTTCTCATGTGGAAGTGCTTTAAAATTTTATTTCTTCTTATAGAGATTGCTTGTTAATTCTCCATTTCATGTAAGGAACGAACGAGGTTTGTAGATAAAACATATAATCGACACAATAATGTAAAATGCTGTTTTTTTAATTCTTATAACTTTTCTAAACTACACTAAAAACTAACCAATATTTATTAACGATCGTAATGGAACAAACAAACTTAATATACAAAAATAAAGTCCGTTATACCTTGCATAGTTCCAAACACATATCATTCAAATTCCAGTTATACTGATGATAATATTACCTACATATAACAAATTCGACACAATTCGATCATTGCCAATTTCCCACTGACGTGCGTATTTCATATGACAGCTATTTATATTGACAAGCAAATCTAATTTTCTGCTTCGATGTTTTACAATCTCAATATTTTCATACGCGAATTATTATTATTCCTACATATAAAGTTCCACCGTCATACTATGTATTGAACGAGAAAAACTCAAAAACTTGGAATTAGATTTTTATTAATAAGCTTAGTAATTTATGAAAAACATTTTTGTGTAAAAGAAGAAAAAAAAAGCAAAGATCTTGATAAACGGCCAGACACACAGGCATTAGTAATCCTAAAGAATTCAGCTTTTCTTAGGTACTGAGATATGGAACAGCAAAAAGGGAAAGATGACCGAACAAGTTAAATAACTTTGTGTAACTTTTCAGATTGTGACCAAACTTTCTCACTGGATCCGCTAGAATCAACAGACATGTTAACACTGACACTGTTAGACGGTACATTACCATCTCAGATTGAGCCGTGTACCGGAAATTTGAACTATACTACAACGTCATAGGAGCGATAAAAACGCAACCGTTCGTGGACTTCGAATGACGAACTTCCTGGGCTATTCGGTATTCAGAAACTTTGTGCATTAATGAAAACTTGGACAAACAAGAAACGTATTCTTTTACCAAGTATTACGAATTACCATATTATTCCTTTGTAGTTATTCTTCGTATATGAGTATTATATGATGGAAAAGATTTTATGTAAGGGATAAATAATGGAATTATGAAGGAATTTTTCTACGAATTTAATAAATCGTTAAGTACTACCTATTTTATGTTATTGCTTACAATGTTTTAATGCCAATATGGATACCTTGGATATTATCTCCTTCGTTGTCATTGGAAATAATATTTGCTTCAAAACCTTCTTCAGAAAATAATAAAAAATATATTTTGAATACTACCAACGATGTTAACAAATTTTAAATACTTTAACTAGTGGATAGCAATAATCATCATCCGCGTGTATTATACATTCGGGGGACGATTATTACTTTTGACAGCCCGACTTCAAATTCAGTTTCATGAGTTTGGTAATTGCCTAGTTTATAAGAATTATTTTTTCAACTTTTTGAAGTTTCGGATTTTATTTTATTATTTTTTTAATATATCGTTCTGATGTAATGAGTTAATTTAGACGATGTAGTACTTTATTTTCTATTCCTGTTATTTCTGAGCTGAAGAAGATATTTCTAGAATATACTAAAAAAAAATAATTGCGAGCCCAGTTTTTAAATTCGGGTAAAAAGTTCCCATGGCGATGAATTTTTCTGTACAATTTTATATATTTCATTTTAATCAGATTACTTAATGAAAAATGCATTTTTCTTTAAGAATATATAATATATAGCAAAATTTATCGAATACAATAATTATATCAAATTTATTAAAAACGTCTAGAGTACTTCTGATTAAAAAAATAAGCTTTTTGAATTAATAAAAACCATTATAATGGTTCTTCTTTTTTAATTAATGGCTTATCTGCGCATTTCGCACAATTCTGCCAATGTCAAGTAAATAAATTAATTTTTACATGTAAAATGAAAATGAAATGAATAAAAGATGGCCCATTATAATGGTTATTAACTGGAATTATTGATTTACTATCTATCATCATTACATAATAGAATAAAGTCGCTTACTCTGTCCCTATATCCCATTTATGTATGCTTAAATCTTTAAAACTACACAACGGATTTTGATGCGATTTTTTTCATAGAAAGGATGATTCAAAAGGAAGGTTTTTATGTATAATGTAAGAAGAATATAATATAAGATTTTATATAATCACTGCAATAAGTATTCCAGTGATTAATAGATTAAATCAGCTGCCAGGTTTACGGACTATATTGACTCTTCTTTCATATGAATATTGTGTAAACTTTAGTTAGTGAATAACAACAACACTTAGAACCAAGCATTTTCTAATATTTTCCATTATCTCCAAGCTGTGATGAACAAATTACTGTTTGCCGAGTGGCCGGGATAATCATGTTCATAATACACCCTCTACACAAGGGATTTCCAAAGTGAGCTGTGTTGACCCCTTGGGGTCAAAATCGGTTTCTCGTGGGTCGTCATATCGAATGGTATAATTAACTTTTGTTAAAATTGACAGTTAACAGTTTTTACGAGATAATCAAAATATTTATAACTCAAAGGTGACTGACTGACATAGTGATCTATTAACGCATAGCCCAAACCACTGGATGGATCGGACTGACAATTTTTATGCAGATAGATGTTATGACGTAGGCATCCGCTAACAAAGGATTTCGATCAATTCTACTCTCAAGGGGATAAAATAGGGATGAAAGTTTGTATGAAACTTTGACAATTTTAAACCGATCGGGCTGAGACTTTTCATGCATATAGCTACTATGACGTAGGCATCCCCTCAGAAAAGATTTTGATAAATTCCACTCCTAAGGGGATAAAATAGGGGATGAAACTTTATTTCAGGTATTATACACGATATAATGAATAAATATTCGTTAGAAATGCTGCTCAAAGTAACTATATCACGCGGACGAAGTCACGGGCAAAACCTAGTGGGATATATTTTTTTTTATGGAATATGGGCAGTCGAGCAGACGGATCAGCTAATGGCGAGTGATTACCGCCGCCCATGGACACCTGTAACAATAGAGGAGCTACAAGCTGATCATTACTAACAGAAGTTGTTATTGTAGGTATAAGTAGCGTTGCGTGTACCATTTTGTTTAAAAAAGAATGAAATAAATTCTTGACTGTTAACAATTGATAACACCTTATATATTTTGACTGATTTTTATGTCTATAAATTTTCTTATCAGAAAAATTTATTCACTAAACGAAACATAAAAAAAATTGTAAGTTTTCGTATCACTGGAACTTGTTATTTATTTATTAATATTAAAGCTTACACTTAAAATGATTGTTATGAAACAAGAAATAAAAAGAACTAAAAGATGATAAATTAAATTAAATAATTTATTTACATTAAATTAAAAAAAATAAAAGGGATGAGGTGATTGGTGAGGTGAGAAGTGAAGTAGTGAGAGTGAGAGTGTCAGTGTAGGTGATCTGATGAAGGGGCGTGGGTCAGCGGTGAAGTTCCGTTAATGATGTCGATGTGCTTCTCAGAAATAGCCGACGACAGCTCAAGGAAACAGCGATGTACTTCAGCAGTCTTGAGGGACGTCTGGATCCGGAGCGTAAATTCGATGGGGAGTAGTCTCGATGCGTCGAACAGGAGATTCTTCGGCAGCCAAGAACCGAGAGCGTAAATCGGTGAGGCGTAGTCTCGATGCGTCGAACAGGGGATTCTTCGGCAGCCCAGAACTGAGCAGCAGCTCAGGCCTAAGGCGTATACTCGCAGACAGCCTCCAGGATAGGCAATTTTGGTCTAAGATTGCAGGGGGTGAAGTAGCGAAGGAGGTTATAGTGGAGTATTGAATTGTTGTCGTCTAGTTAAAGCCAGAAAGATGTCATGTGACTTTGAGACCGTAACTTTGAAGAGTTCCCGGGGCAGTCGGCCCCGGGAAATAGGCCTTTTAAGAATTTAGCTAGCTCTGTACGAGCTCCAAAAAGCTAACTTGGCAACTGTTGCCGTTGAAGTGATAACGAACTATTTGGGCGAGGCTTTATATACCTGAAGAAAACCTCAAATTTGGAAATAAATGATTTCAAATTAGAACCCTAAAAATTCAAAAACTACAGAGTTTCAATGCCTAAAACTGACAAACAATGAGTCAATTTTCATCAAGAGTATCAAATATAACCATAGCAACGAAGAAAAGCTTTCATGTCAAATCTGTCAAAACAATTAAAATTAGCGATAAATTGTGTTATAATATATAAATAAGTGCTTTAATATGATTAGAATTGATAAAATGTATAACGAAAAACTATGAAAGCTACAGGTAAGGGTTCATATTAGTGTAAGTAGTAAAAAACATAGGATGAAAGTTCGTAAAGGTTTGGATAAGTTTATATTACAGAATTTTAATGGTTAAAGGTATAAAATTGAAGGTGCATTGTTATAGAATTTATCGATATGAGTAAAATTAGTGATATGAATCTAAGGAATGAAAACGATACGAAAGGTTAGTTACGACATGATATAATAAAAAATTTCACGTATTAAAAGTTCCATTATTTATGGAATAAATATAAACAGTGCCCGTTTATATTGGAAATAATTATTTCCTTTTTGATTTAAGTTATCAGTTCACTTTGGAAAGGGGTCTCTTGCCCAAAATAGTTTGGAAATATCTATCCTACACCCATCAAACGGAAATCTCCGGGCTGCCCACTATCACCTCCCGCACAATACATTCCATTAGCCCCCAAACAATTGCTCTCGGATAATATTAAACCGACCTGCTTCAGGGTCGCTTTTCTTTTCCATTAATGAAAGATTTCGCCCTAGCAGTATTCAGTGACTACTTTCGACAGGAAAATTCTAATAACAGGCGATTTAATAAAAAGGAACCTATTATAATAATCTTTAGGTTCCATTTATGTCTTATAATGACAAGTATGCATAGTCTTTTTTGTGATTTGACTGAATGATAAGTCTAAAAATGTGAAAGTCTCTATCAATAGCGCTAATATTCTAATTTTTTGAGTTTATTGTTTTATATTCACTAATTATTATTTTGCGTTTTTAATAACCTATTAATATGGATTTGATTATTGATTAATTTTAGTTTTATGCTTTGTAAGTTCAAAACTACATTAGATTATTTATGAAAAAAATTATAAAAATTGGTACTCTAACGCCATCTTTTAACGATCAAAACTCAAGTAACTGCATCAACGAATAACAATGTCCTTACATTGTTATTATGTAAGTCTTATAAAATGCCGTTAAACATTTCACTGTAAAATAATTTTGCATAAATACAAGTTAAGCATAAAATAAATCAAAACAAGAATAAATAAATCTTTTATGGATAAAAAAATATCTCTAAGCCTGTTTGTTATGAAAGATTTTTTATAATAATATATACAGCTTTACTAGTCTGCCACATTTTTGTGCTTCAAGCGAGTTTATTCGCAAAACGACGACGTTATATTTATTTTGATAAGCAAACGCACGGAAGGAGCTTTGTTAGACGAATATGAATTGAGCCTTTGATACGCATAAAGCGGATTGAACCACGTGAATGATTAAATGCGATAACAAAGCCGCCAATGCTTACTATAGACATAGATTTAATATCTATCGATATCCAAGAACAGTTTTAAAATATGAAGAAAAGTGGGACGGAGCCTAAATATCGGGGACTTATTAAAAATAAGTTATATGGAGCTTGATGGCACTGTGATTAGCGTGCGATACGATTTTTAAGCAACTTTCGCAAGGGCCGGTTATAAGATGGGTGAGCAAAAATTTTACTGTCTAGACCTCCTCCGTGCTTCGGAAGGCAAATT